AACCAAAAACGATTTTCAATTTTTTTGTAGTTTATTGCACTTTTTTGCAATTTATGTAATTACTATGCAGTTAATGCAGACATATTATTAAGATTTGGGCTATAATGGTTGTATTGATGTATAGCAACTTGAAATGCTCCCAAAAATGGCTCCACAGCCTGTAAAAATATAATATAAGCTCTGGCGGACTTGGTTCTATGGTAGGTCTTAAAGGGTTAAGTGATCAAACACAGAAGCCAGTTCATACAAATGTTTTGCATTTAGTAACAATTTAATGTATTTGCTCATGTTTTCTGGACAGTTTCAGTCACGTGTGTGTTCCCAGGGTGCAATGCAGCCTGTGTTGTAGTGTGATCTTTGGAGTGATGAAAGGCTGTATTACACGGAAACATGTTTGAGTTGGTGGAAAAACGAAAATATCTTCCACCTGCGTGCCTTTTTATATGAGTGTAAATAAAAGAACCAGTCGACTGTGTCCTTCCAAACCTTCTGTAAACATCGCTGACACAAATTCGCCTCCGATTCAACCCGACGAGTACACTGCAATGCATGACATCCTGTGCATTAGTGTTATCTGTGCAACAAGGTTTCATTTATTACTGAATGATTGTTTTTAAATTAATCTTTTGTAATTATATTTAAGCTTTTCTTTGGTGACACCGCAGGACTGCACTTATTTTCCTTGTACTTGTTACAGTGACAGTGAAGAGATTGTGATTCTTCTGCTTCACTGTAAAAACTCAAACTGCCTTTTCTTCTGACCGTGTCACGTTCAGGATCAGGATGCTCCGGCTCTGTCGCAGGCTGAGCTGAAAAAACAGTCAATGCAGGAAGTCCGACGCAGCCTTCCCATCTTTCCCTACAGAGACGACCTGCTGGCCGCCATCCACGAGCACCAGATCCTCGTCATCGAAGGAGAGACGGGCTCGGGGAAAACCACCCAGATCCCTCAGTACCTCCTGGAAGACGTGAGTGAAGAATTTAAATGTAGCTTCATATATTCACGTATTAAACGTGTTAGAGAACAGCGACTGGGGTACCCAACCGAAATATTGGCCTCTACCTCTTGGAGTAAAAAACAAAGTCCACCACATTGTCCATGTATCCTAGGATGTTGAACTATAGACTGCTGTTCCAGTGTGATTTATTTACTTTCCAGAGTAAGGAAAATCCTGAGCATCCTGAAAGTGCTGTCAAAGTAATCCTTAAACACTTTCCATCAGGGCTACACCAAAGGAGGCATGAAGATTGGATGTACGCAGCCTCGCAGAGTGGCAGCCATGTCAGTGGCAGCCAGAGTAGCAGAGGAAATGGGTGTGAAGCTTGGTAATGAGGTGAGCTTAGTACATGACTACACCAACACTTGATGTGTTACTGCACCTTCAAGCAGACTGAAATTGAGCGTTTTACTGTCATCCAGGTGGGTTACAGCATTCGTTTTGAGGACTGCACATCAGAGAGAACCGTGCTCAAATACATGACAGACGGCATGCTGCTCCGAGAGTTCCTCACCGAACCGGACCTGGCCAGCTACAGGTGCCATTAATGCGTCTGTGCCCTCTGCTGGGTTTTTATGTTGCTTTTCATGAAGAGCAGAAAGCACCTAAAAGTAACAGTGCTGACATGGGAGAGTGTACTTCTGTACTGGCTGCTCTTTACGTGTTTAAGTAGTTTATGGAAGCAGGGTAAACGATTCTCATAAACCATTTTCTCTATTAAATCTACATTCTGGGAGCAAAGTAATGCTGCAGAGGATTTGTGGAGTTATGTAGGCTTTACTAGGAAGACAGGGCAGTTGACTTTCAGCCTGCAGACACAACCAGGCGTGCACGCTTGTTAAAGATTATCTTGGTTTAGGCAGGTACACAGTCTTAAAAGTAGGTAACTTTACCAGTACTGACCTTCTCTGTTTCTTGGCCACTACCTTTTTCTTCTGTGGGGGGTTTGGAAACCTCATCTGATTTAAATTTGGCCTACCTCTCCATCAAGATCATTTGGTCGTGCGCCTGTGAGCTGCTAGGCTGTAGCGTCTCAAAATAGCAACCGTTCAAACCAACAGTGACATTTTCATAATGTGAATGCAGCAGCAGAGTGGTGGATCTTGTGAACAGAGGAAACTGCAGTGATCACTTCATTTCTTCAGCGTGTCATTGGTTCTGCTGCTCACTGGATCTGTCACCCTTGAGCTTATTAGAAAATTGCTCAACCTTAGCCAAAGCTGTCGTCACATGAGCGTCCGGTCAGTTTGAAAAGGAAGGTGACATTTTCTCTCTGCACACAGCAAAGTGCAGGTGGTCTAATCTGGTTTAATCAGACACTTGATTTAGTTTTATAAATCCTCTGCTGGCTTCTCTGTAGTTTGACATTTATCACCGAACCCGTTCGTGTCGATCGTTTTGCTCCCCCCACGATCTCTGTCTGTCTCCCCCCACAGTGTGATCATCATAGACGAAGCCCACGAGCGAACGCTCCACACCGACATCCTGTTCGGTCTGATTAAAGACATCGCAAGATTCAGATCGGACCTGAAGGTGCTGGTGGCGAGCGCCACTCTGGACACCGAGCGCTTCTCCTGCTTCTTCGATGACGCGCCTGTTTTCAGGATCCCTGGCAGGAGGTTCCCCGTCGATATTTTCTACACGAAAGTAAGATTATATTTGAATCCTCGCCACAGTAAACGTTACAATTTAGAGCCTATAAACCAAACTGTGGTGTTGATGTGTGTGTGTCTGTGTGTTGTCTTATCAAGGCTCCAGAGGCAGACTACCTGGAAGCGTGTGTGGTGTCGGTGTTGCAGATCCACGTCACTCAGCCTACCGGAGACATTCTGGTCTTCCTCACTGGACAGGTGCGCTTCATATCATATTCCCAAGAGATCCAGAGCTTCAGACACGACTGTGATGCTCTGCAGCAAACGTCAGACTGAAATCTCTCTCTCAAAGAGTTACACCTAGCTTAACATCATGTTCTCTCCATGCTTTCCTTTGTGTGCAGATGTTTTTATAATATAATCACATTCTAACTGATGGCTGTGAAACAACATTGATCTTCACGTGTTCTGTAGAATAGTTTGGACATACCACTTTATCAAAACCCTGACACAGAGGATCGCAGGTTCATAATGTGAAAGTAAAGTCTTTATTAAATATGGCTTAAGTGAATAAGAAAAGCAGCTGACTTTAATGAAACTGATGAAATTGCCTTCACTTACCTGAATCCTTTTTCGTTTCTTTTTTCGTGGAATGAGGGAAAAGGAGAAACGACAGAGTCGCTGTTGCTCAGGACGATTCTTTCTCCATAAACTCTTTGTCACAGTGAACACATCACTTTCTGTGGAAACTTGATTTTCCCATGTGGCTCCTGCAGCACTGATAAAACACAATGAACGTCAGAAAAAGGCCACAGTGAACCTGAAACAGACCTGATCTAAAACCAAAGAAGGATCAGAGTGAGCTTGATCACACATGCATGCGTTCATTCATATATTTCTATATTTATTCTTAAGATTTGACTCGGTTTTTGCTAGAAAACAGGTAAAATCCCACGTTCACTCTGAGAAAGTTGATCTTGTAAATTCTACAAGTTTAGAAAACTGTCCTGACATGTACGGATGCAAAGGGAAGGAGAGGGATCAGAACAGATATGTTAGATATGTTAGAAACACGGGTACAGTGTCCTTGTGTGTGTCGGCTGATTGTTGAGCCTCGCTGAACGCGTGTCTTGCAGGAGGAGATCGAAGCGTGTTGCGAGCTGCTGCAGGAGAGATGCAGGCGGCTTGGTTCTAAGATAGCAGAGCTGCTCGTCCTCCCCATCTACGCCAACCTGCCGTCTGACATGCAGGCAAAGATCTTTAATCCTACTCCGCCTGGAGCGCGTAAGGTGAGACAGTGTCTTATTTCTGAGAAGCTTTTATTGTTTCTTAATACAGCTGCCCTACAACTAACAGGTCAGTGAAGGACTAATATTTCATTTTGGCTGACACAAAATAGACCAGCAGTCGACCATGTCGGGTTTTTGTTAAACCCTTATTTAACCAGGATACCAGAGTCTTGATTTAAAATCTGTTTGCACAAGTGTCCTGGTGTGTTTACTCTGCCAGCTGGATCAGCCTCGGATCATTTTCCTAGACTGGAATATTCACAGTTTGCACCAGCTCATAACAATCACAACAGGCTAACAGGCCTGTTTTTTGCTTTGTTTTGATGAGAGCTGCTGGAGCATTGCAAAGTATCATTAACATTATGCCAATACGGTGTTGAATACTTGACATAATTTATTAGCTAGCGTGCCTTAGTTGGGAGTTGGATTCTCTGGGAGAAACAGTTGCTTCTCACAAGTCCATCTCACAACCACAGCTGTGGTCCCTGCTGGTCTGCCTCCACTGCAGATGTCTGATGGTGCAGATGGAGGTGAACGGATCTGCGCTGTAATCACAGGGTGAAACCAAACGCTAGCTGTCATGCACTGCTGAACGTGAACTGGATGTGAGGCTCTGAGTGATGTTGGGACAAAGGGAGCTTCAGTTAAATCTTTCCACAGGTTCACCTACGAAACCTTCAAACTTTTAGGCTCTCGCTGGCCCAGGTCGTTCTTTCAGTCTTGACTCCAATTATAATCACTAGAAACATGAATCCTAATTCACATTCAAATTTGTTTAACTGCCCAATCCTAAGACAAAAGTTTCAACCACAGATGATCTTAGGTTAAAAAACGGCAGCTATTAAGACCTAAAACAATTCCAGCTGTTCAGGAGATTTGCGTCCTGTAATCAAGGTGAGCTAAAGCATTTAGTGCTGCGTGTAAACAAGGTTAAGTGTTATATTGGTACTTTGATCATTAGCAACATTAAATTCTACTGAGTCAACCCGTCGTATCCTTTGCTTTTAGAAATCCTGGTAAATAAATATGAGCTTCCTGCAGTTGTAAATCATGTTTTTGACGTCTTTTTTTTTTTTAACCTCTCATTTATCATCTGGATTTAATCTTTGTTGGTGCAATGTTTTCTAACTTTATCTCTCGGTGTTTCTTTTCTTATCAATCCAAGGTGGTGGTGGCCACCAATATAGCAGAGACTTCATTGACCATAGATGGCATCATCTACGTCATTGACCCTGGCTTCTGCAAACAGAAGAGCTACAACGCCCGCACAGGCATGGAGTCACTCATTGTTACACCTTGCTCACGGGTAACTGCTTTTCCTTAATGTTTAACTAGCAGGAAATCAAAGTGAAGTGACGATAAATTTAAGCCATTTCCTTTTATTGCTGTTCTAAACAATGACGGGTGCATCCTTGGGATTGGTACAGGCTGGTCTGTGGGGTTAGACCAGTCTTCACCACCATGGAGGTACTGAATGGAGTCTTTGTGTCTTTAAATATGAGAGCTCAAAAAGTTTTGAATGAATTTTGATAAAGTTCTTTAAGTGTTTATTAATAGAACAAAGAAAAGTTGAATGCATATATACAAAATACAAAAGTAAATGCTACCTGGTGTGAGCTGCCTGGGTGGAGCTTTTACTTACATATCACTCTAATGTGAGATAAACTGTTACATAAAAAACAAATATTTGGAATATAAATATATTGTTTATACATATTATATTGTTTAAAGACCAAGTCCTAGAAGCTGAATTGAAGAGAAATGATGTCTCGTTTATTAGCTTCTCTTTATTGGCTCACTGTTAAATTGAATTCCTTCTCCTTGTGCTCAAAGTGCTGAATGATTAGCCAACATCATAACTTCATAGCACCATTTTATCCTAATAGAGCACTTTGCTCTCAGACTGCAGGTCTACTTGTGTTCTTAGAGTTTCTCAAATTAAAATGGGAGGCAGAGCCTTCAGCTTCCAGGTCCCTCTCCTGTGCAACCGACTCCCAGTTCAGGTTCAGGACACAGACACCCTCTGCTTTTAAGGCTTCAAAATGTCCTTTTTAAAAAAAAAAAAAAAAAAAGCTTATAGTTGGGGGTGGATCAGGCGACCTTGAACCATCCTTTAGTCATGCTGCTGTTTGAGGCGAACCAAATTAACTGAACTACAGGTGTGAGATCACCTGGAAGGTCAAACATTTGCTGAACTTTATTGTAGCTGCAGCTGAGACATCGAAAGGTCAGACGTGTCGGATTCAGTTCGTTGGGTTTCTCGTCTGTGATTGCTTTTGACTCTTTCGTTGTTTTAAGGTGGATTGATTTTGGAGTTTTGTCTCCTAACAAGGCAGCTGGTGCAAACCTGTTTTGTGAAAACATCTTACTGAATATATTTGATTTGATCTGATTTGCACTGTTTTGGCTGCTGAAAGCAGCCCGTGGTGAAATTGTGTTTGAAATATAATCAAAGGTGGAGGAGGGCCTGATTGGCACACTCGAGTCAGCCAGAGATCCTCAGAAGAACAAACCTCTCCAGCTCTCCAAAGAAAAAAATAAATAAGTAAATCTCCTGATAAGCTTGTGGACTTGTGGGAGTGTAAATCACTTTGACCCAGGTCAAACATAAAAATACTATGTTAAAGAGACCTCAGAGATATCCTCCACTGGCTTCACAGACATGTATTGTAGCTCAGGTGTGGTGGTGTGTTAGTGCAGGTGATTTATCTGTCTGTTTTTTTCTGTGTTTAACTCTCAGGCTTCAGCCAATCAGAGAGCAGGCCGAGCAGGCAGAGTGGCTGCTGGGAAATGTTTCAGGCTTTACACAGCCTGGGCCTATAAACATGAGATGGAGGAAACAACTGTGCCTGAGATTCAGAGGACCAACTTGGGAAATGTAGTCCTGCTGCTAAAGAGTCTAGGTGGGGCAAGAAATTGGGATCCTGTGATTTTAAAACACCAGTTGGCTGCTGTTGTGTAGTGAGCTAATCTTTTTTCCTTGCAGGTATTAATGACCTCATTCACTTCGACTTCATGGACCCACCTCCTCATGAGACTCTAGTCTTGGCTCTGGAGCAGCTCTATGCCCTGGGAGCCCTCAACCACATGGGGGAGCTCACAAAGGTGCAAACTTGGAGACGCTCTCTATATTTTTAATATAGTCATATATATTTGTAGAATTTCTGCAATCACAGGTTGCTTATAGACATTAACCTTCACAGTATCGTGATGTGAATATGCACCGTCCGACAGAGTTAATAGAGGCCAAAAACAAAGCTAAGGGAGGGTCGCCAAAAAACTCCACCAAAATCAGATCGCACAGATCCCTGGGTATGTACAACAAAGAGCTGGTGAACTATCCCATCCTACATTTGAATCTGCAACAGGCGCTGCAGAGTTGGACATATTTTACATTCTTACTGTAACTTGAGCTGCAGGAGAGAGATACACCACCTTTTATTTTTACAGGAATAATCTGTGACCATCTCTGCCACGCTCGGCTGCATATTTGCATCACGTACTTTGCACACCTGATGCTCGTAAGGCTGTAAAATGGCTTCCAGCACTGAAGAGTCACTCACTTCCTTGATCGAAAGTGCTGATGCATTTTAACTTTTATTACCAATCTGATCGTGTTAATGAGTAATTATCAGGGACAGGAGGATGTTTTTAAGAGCGTGTGTGTCATTAGCCAGTTTTGTAGGTCATTGGGTTTGTTTTTTTAATTAATTGAAGTGTTTATTGGTATTTAACTCTTTCTCTCTGTCTCTTTTTGGGGCGGCTCAGCTGGGTCGCAGAATGGCTGAGTTACCTGTGGATCCCATGCTGAGTAAGATGATCCTGGCCTCAGAGCAGTGAGTCTCCAGTTTGATTGCATCGTAGTCACCTGCTTGAGTCTGTACTACCTGCCAAATTAGCTGTTTATTTATTCAGTCACATTGCACCATGAAAGCATTAAACTATTAATTATCAGGAAATCTGATTCCCACACTTTATGTACAGGAAGCTTGCATGGTTTGTTGAACGATTTGTATGGTGAAGTTGTAGAACAGGTAAGCTTGTGTGCACATATTAGCATGATTCCAGTCTGTCCCTCCATCCTCACATCTGTGCTGATTTTAGCTGGACGTGGAGTCTCAGTTGGGTGAGCTGAAGGGTCTCTTTGACAAGACGAAGGCTAGAAATAAAGGTTAGAAATTTGGTTTAACACAAGTCGCTGCGGTTTTTACCAACCAGAACACGTCAGTGATGCTCGGTCACTACATCAAAACCGTAACCGTAAGGAAAGAGAGCATCACGACACATCTGTGTGTGCAGATTGTGTCTTTAACGCCCTCACTGTCTTTGTATCTCGAACATCTCGTTTTATGAACATGTGCAGTAGAAGATGAAGATGGACTAGAGCAGGGGTGGGGAACTCCAGGCCTCGAGGGCCAGTGTCCTGCAGGTTTTAGATGTCCTTGATCCAACACAGCTGCTTTAAATGGCTGAATGACCTCAACATATCTTGAAGTTCTCCAGAGGTCTGAAGTTTCCCACCCCTGGACTAGAGGCTGCTGGTGTCCACCTACTGAGAAACTCAAACAAAAAAACAGCTAGTGTGCTTTCGTTGCTAGTTTTTCCACTGATGACTGCTTGGGAAAAACATCCTGCCTGTAGCTAAGCTGACACAGGATGCCATCATCTGTATCTAACAGAAATAGAACTTCCATTCAGCAGCTACAAATCAAATTCAAATTTTATTTGTCACACACACACAACCATACACAGTATGACATGGGGGTGAAATGCTTGTAGCTGTACAATGCCCGACCATTAAATGACAGAAGAAAAGTTTTACAATATTTACAATTTACTACAAAAATTTACAAATTAACTTAGGAATTTACAGTAAAGAATGTG